TATAATCACCAACAATTTTAGGGAGTTTTAAAGAGTTCTGTTCAGCATTATTAGCATTAATAAGTTTATTAAGCTTTGATTTTAGTTGGTTGGTCGGGTTCTTTTTAAGTTTTTTTTAACTTTATGTGATCATGGAGTATGTGGTCAAGTTTTTTGTTGTAATCCAATTTGTTTAGGATGAAAAAAATGTTGGTCTTATCAGCTTTTTTTACGATAATGTCAGGGTGGTTGTGTAGTTCTTGTGCGGCAATTTTCCAGTAGTGTGATTTTCTTTCTTCGTTTAATGATAATGTTATTAAGCTTATCAGACGATATGAAAAGAATTTTTATAAAATAAATAGACAGCACTTGTCTATATTATTTAATGAAAACACACACACACACACATATATATATATATATATATATATATATATATATATATATATATGTATATATAGTTTATGAAAAACTAGGTAATCTGTATGGGTAAACCTAAGGAGGATAAAATCAAGAGAGCTCAATGTAAATCCAGAGCAAATAACTTAAATAAAAACAGACCACTTTAAGGTTCCATGTAATAAATTATTTCACCACAGCCCTTTTAAAAGACTGCGGATCATCAGACTTTACTTTCAAACAAAAAATGAAAAGAAAATTTACACATTTTTGATGGGCCGTATTAAACATATATAAAATAACAAAGTGAGGAAGTGAGGGGGGAGAGAGAAGACATGAGTGAGTTAGCAGATATTGACACATTTAAAATATATATATATATATATATATATATATATATATATATAAAGAAAGAACAGTAAGATATATAATCCGGTGTTCTTATAGATATTTTTATTTTTACAAAATAGTGCTCAATGTAAATTTACAGAGCATTAATATTTAATATTATAAATTAATTGATTTCAAATATATTTTTTTCCGCTACACAGTTCTAACCATGTTTCAAAAATGGAAGCTAAAAGCCCCGAATTTAAATTTTAATTAAATTAAAGACATTTGTTCCATTTCATCCTCTTTGAATTTTGAGTAACTTTACCCAATATTACTGGGTTTTAAAGACACATTATTTTCATTAGGGTGTTCAATTATGTCTATATCATAATGAACACCCAGACACCCCTCGTCTAGTAAAATGAATTCATCTGTAACCTTGAAACATGAATTATGATTTTTAGCTGTGTCTTTAAAACCCAGTAATTTTAAAAGTTACTTCAAAAATTCGCTTATATAATTTATAATATATATATATATATATATATATATATATATATATGTGTGTGTGTGTGTGTGTGTGTGTGTGTGTGTGTGTGTGTCTGTCTGTGTGTGTGTGTGTGTGTGTGCGTGTGTGTGTGTGTGTCTCTGTATAGGATGAATAAAGAGCAGTTCGACACTTTTTTCTTTTCTCAGGAAAATTTCCTGTTCTCAGTCCAACATAGTCTTTGTACAAGTCTAGAAAATTCCCATCTCAAGTAATTATTGCGTCTGGATTAACTTTTCGCTGTGGTTCCTAGACTTTATGAATTTAAGCGCCGGGTTTTATCATTTCACTGTTTAACTGGCCAGATGTAATCGTAAGTTCTTTGCCGATAGTTTAGTTTCTCGCACTTCTCGCTTGTGGAACACTATTTAGACTTCTTGCTTTCCAGACAATTTGATCTTCAAAAAATGTTTTATAGCAAACGCGCGTCAGTACAGACTCAAAAGAGGCCACGGGTTGCATGCGGTCATGTTTGTCAACACTGGATTTTTCCAGTTAGCAGCGGGACAGCATGGCTAGCTAGATACGGGCCTCTCTGCAACTGGTCTAAATCCAGGCCTTTGTAAAATGCCTCATGAAAATAAGAGATGGCGGAAAACGGCAATCAGTAGTTGGCAGCACACGGTATCTTGTGAAGTCCAGTGTGCATTTTGTTCCTCAAGTTGCTCTACTTCCCGAGATAGTGTTATTTTTTGTTACTTCTTGTCTCTTTCCCCTCTCTCCCTATTTATCCCCATAGATGTTGGGAGTAGCAGTTGGTTAGGTGCGCCCCCACCAATCTCAACAGACTCTTTACTTACATTACTACATTTTGTCTTGATTACACTTCTTTTACTATTCCCACGGTATTTACTCTGTCCCCACCCACTTTGAGACACAAGGTCTATTTTTAGGCGGGAGCCCGAGGGCATACACCCGGGACAGGAGCAAAAATTCTCCACAGCCCCTGCAACCGTCGATTGCGCTGGCCTCCGTCCGTGCACCGATCCCTCTCTCTGGTGCAATGAGAAGGCGCGACCCCAGGCAGCTGTTCCCCAGGGCTGGGCACCTCTTCAGTATAATTTTCTCAGTTGCCCCTCTGTAATTTGACAGAGAAGCCCCTGAGCGCACTCTGTCCAAAGACAGAGACGCAACTGAGAGATGATAGGTAGACGTGTAACTACTCAAAAAAAGTAAGGTACACGCTGTAAGGTACACTTTTACTATTTTCGCGCCTAAATATATTTTTTTCTTATTCCTTCACACTTTCTAACCCTTTGTGTTTTAATGGCTTTACTGCCTTGCTTAGGGGCATATGACTAAAAAGAAACTCAGAAAATTTAGAAAAAAATCGTTTTATGACATTCGTTCGCCAGACGGGTAATTCATGTTCACCGTTTAATTGCGACCATGAAAAACTGAAGTTTTACGATATGTTATCAGCAATTTATTTCCTCTGTCTTATTTAACCCTTTGTCTATTTTCTCCTTACTTACTTTCTATTTGAACATTACAATGTCGACATAAATCTTGCTTGATATATTTTACGTGTTTTTCAGAGGGTTTTTTTTCCTTAAATTCTAGTGTAGCTAAATTCTTCCGTGTTTCAATTTAAACTTCACTTCCTTCAAACTGAGTTATCTCCCTTTGAGCTTGCCACTAAAGAAAATGTCACGTTGTCTATTCGCAGTTCTGTCGGACCGTTAAAAACAAACATCCCAGCTTCGTCACCCATGAACTTTGTGACGGATCGTGTTTGGATTATTCAATAGAATTTGGAGCAGACTTGTTTAAAAAGTTTGTTCTCGACGATTAATTTCTTTAACTGCAATTACGATAAAAAAGATTCATAAATTACAACACAAAGAGATATTCGAACTGCCAAGAAAACTTGATTTATTATGAGAAAGTTTCAAAACACGTTAAGGAATTGTATTCCTCAACAATCAACTTTCGTAAATAATTTTATAGGCCACACTACAACATGTTTAACTCGCAGACTAACTCTACACCTTTCTGACAATAGCTCAATTACATCTTATTTAAATATTCATGGAGACCTACCGGACACTTTTCGTAACATACTTGTCGACAACACTAATAATAGCATCATCCACATGCAAAAGAAAAGGCTAAAAATAATGGAAGCCTTATTAATAAAAACAAACAAAGCAACACTTAATAATATTTAATTTTGAACATGGACATAATACCTTGACCGTGTTTTGAAACAAAAAAATGAAGCATTTTATAAAACATACATACAACAAACTATTCTAGTTTTAGCAGTTAAAACATAATCCTTGAAAATGGCTAAATGTATAGACGAAAGCGCTCGATAAAAAAGAACATTCGGACAATTTTTTAGAATATATATATATATATATATATATATATATATATATATATATATATATATATAGACAGATAGCTAAAAAGAGATAGATAGATAGATAGATAGATAGATAGATAGATAGATAGATAGATAGATGTACTGGTTAGTGTACGTTGTGTCATAACGATAAAATAGGACCTTTGGCAATCGGAGATTAAAATACGTGCATATTGAATAAAAAGTTCACACACACACACATAAATACACACACCCACAAAATTTAAATTGATTAATCTCGTCGCAACAGTCAGTTCATCCGTAAAAAACTATTCGTCTAAAATCGAATCACATATTCCAATTCACCGAAGCTTGGCTGTCGCGAACATCCAGTAATAGATTTTTTATCCAAAATTACCCAACAATACATATTTATAATAAAATTGCGAACAATACGCACATACTAAGAAGTTCTAGGGACCTCACCCAAATCCGATTAAAATAATAGCATATAGGCAACATAAAAAAAAAAACTTTCATGATATTAAACCATGTCATATCCTACAATTTCTTAAATCGAATTGTATTGTAAAGTAAATCTTCAACAAAATTATAACATACGACACTCACACACCACTTCCTCTAGTTATTATGTCTATACAAACATGTATATGCACAAAAGCTGAGTATCATCTACCATGGATTCAATTGTTTAAGAAGAATAACATATTTTAAAAATACATGGATATTGAATAAAAAGTTCACACACACAAAATTTAAATTGATTCAGCTCATCACAGAAGTCAGCTGATTCTTAAAAAACTATCATTCTAAAACCGAATCACATCGTCCACTTCACTAAGGCTTGGCTGGGGCGAACTGCTATCCACTAATAGATTTTTCACAAAGATGGTCTACCATGATAGCCCAATAGATCAGTGGATAGATAGGAACCAGATAAGAAAGAAAGAAAGAAAGAAAGAAAGAAAGAGAGAGAGACGGTCAGACAGGTAGAAAGAGAGGAACAGAACGCAATCAGATAGATTCATAATATATCTATATATATATATATATATATATATATATATATATATATATAAACGAATCTTTTATAGATATATTATGAAGAGATTCGGTTATATATATATATATATATATATATATATATATATATATATATATATATATATATATAACGGAATCTCTTCATAATCTATCTTTTCATATTCTAACTACCTATATATATATATATATATATATATATATATATATATATATATATATATATATATCCGAATCTCTTCATAATATATCTATAATATAATATGTATATATCTATATCTTCATATATATATATATTTTATATATATATATATATATATAGAGAGAGAGAGAGAGAAAAGAGGGGGAGGGAATAATGAAGATATTGAA